TTAAGCACAAGCATAAGAAGGTGAAGCTCGCTGTTCTTCAGTTTTACAAGGTTGATGGATCTGGAAAAGTTCAGAGGTTGAGGAAAGAGTGCCCTAATGCAACTTGTGGTGCTGGTACTTTCATGGCGAGTCACTTTGATCGTCATTACTGTGGTAAGTGTGGACTCACCTACGTTTACCAGAAAGAAGGAGCCGAGGCATGATCTCTCAGATCGGTAGATCGATCTCTCTCACTCTTTCTCTATCTTAAAAACTTCTTTTCGTTTTGGTAATTTTATAAGCTTTTTTGTTGTTGTTATGGATTCGATGTTGAATTCTGGATTCTGCTACTTGATTGATGGAATTTCTAGGTTTTATGGATTATCAACTTGATTATGTTGGTCGTTTGGTACTTGGATTTAAATTTCTTTCAATTTCTTCAACCATTTCGATTCGAATCTTATAATTGGAAATTAGGAAATGATCAAAATCACAATTGCAATTTAATAGATGATTTGCTTGAAGAACATGGCTTAGATAATCCAATTCAATTCGTTGTAGTTAAGCTTGCGGATTTGATGATTATGATCTTGCATCCAAAATCTGTTGAAGCTATTCATATTTGTCTATCAATTCACCGTAAAAGCTTCATGATTAGCACCAAAAAAAATCATTTCTATTATACACAGATAAATTAAACGTTTGTTTGTACAGCAAAATTCAATCGCGTAGTCAAATAACAAACCATATAATATACACGCATATACAATTTCTATCTCGACAAAGTAGCTTTAGAAAAAAATATTCGTCATTATCAATTATCGCCATCATCAGTCTCACCAAGAACGCAAAATGTTTCAGCCATCCAACATGTTCCTCAGTCTATGGAGAGCCTCTGCCGATAGACTAAAACACCGTCTCCTCTCTAGCGGAACCACTGGCACGTCCTTTCGGTCCACCGTCGCAAAACATACCACAACTGCGGTTAAGTTATCAAACGTGTTCAGCCTCAGAGCTTCCATCACAAGCTCTCGAGCACATTTTGTGGGATCGTCATGTCTGTTTAATCCGCGCTTTACAATGCTAACCGCTTCTTGGCTCGTCAAGACATCCCAAATCCCGTCGCACCCGATGACAAGAAACTCGTCATCCTCGGTTAGACTTATCTGTTTGATTTCGGGTTCAGAAATAAGTGGAGACTGAGAGCCATGTGGGAGTTTCATGCCCCAGTCGCCGAGAGCTCGGGATACAGATAAGAACCCATTTAAATAACCATCAGAATCAATGAAGCCACCGGATTCCTCCACTCTTCTTCTCTCTTGTAGATTGATAGGTTTATGGTCTTCAGACATGTCTATCGCTATGCCTTTTCTGCATAAAACCGCTCTGCAATCTCCGGCATTTGCCACCATTAAGAGTCTGCAAAGGAGAAGAACAAAAGTATCCCATGAGAATTCACAGTAAAACCACCATGATATCGCACTCAAACCAGATAAACCGAAATAACCAAATGCCCACTCTGGATCATAAGGTAACAATTAAACCCCTAAACATAAGCTCCTAATGCTACAACAGAGAGTAGACCAAACTAAAAATCTACTCAGATCACAGAGTTATAGCATTAAAAATCTAGTATATGCGAGAGTTCTCTCAAGATCCGTAAGAGGGGAAAATAAAAATCCAATTGGCCGAGTCACATACCTTCCGAAAATAAGAGCAGCAATAGCAGTGGTACCACAGAAAGGGCTAATACTGCAATCCTCTGCCAAAGCCAAATCAGTCTGAAGAAACGTATTTCTCAACGAAGTCTTAACTTCTTCCACATAAACACTATCCACTTCGGAAGTTTGTGGAAAGTTATCATCTTCGAAGAATAGCTTAATCGCATTCTGCCGTACATAAGCTGCTGCTTCTGATCCTCCATGACCATCAAAAACCTAAAGAAGAAGTCAAGTCAGAATATATCTTTCAAAAGACCATTACATTACGGGAGCAACGATACATTACCGCATAGAAAGCACTTGGATTTGGCAATTCACAAGGAGACCCAACTTGGGAAGATAGATTGTCTATGCAAATGTGTTCGTCTTCCATGTATTTCTTTGGACCGATATCAGCGTAGCTTCCAGACCGGATGGTTGGAACATAAACCGAAACACTAGGAGCACAATCTTCCTCTGGAAATAGATCAGCTTGCTTCTGCTTTAGACCCTAAAAAGATAGACACATTATAGAAAACACAAATCAAATTTCAGAGCCACTACACCAACAAAATCAAATCTTTAAACAATCAACAGAGTCCTAATTTTCTCAATCAACAGAGAAACAGATCCAAAAAGGCTAAAACTAAAGTTCAATTGAGAATAGCAATAAATGTAACACTAATTAGTGAAGACAAGACATATTAACGAACACAATAACTACAGACAGAGCTTCTCTAGAAAAGTAGTTAACACTTTAGTTCTCAAAGTTTCAGACATCAAGTATCTAACATCTGCAAAAACACGCAAACATGTACGAAAATGTCCCAGATCATTTCGTTGCCTATAAAATGATCTTCTCTGATGAATTTCAAGGACCCTAAACCATAATACTTAAACAATTCCATTCCAAATCATTGACAATTACAGAGCCCAGAAAGAAAAATCCAAACTTTAAACAAACTTACCACCGGGGAAGTCGATAAACCGCCGGAAACAGACGCCGCCGATCGACGCATAGAAGAATCAGGAGATTTAACGGCGGAAGAAACTCCATCAATATCATCAACACCGAATAATTGAACATCAAGAACAACAGGTAAACTCTGTTGAAACACAA